TTTTTAATTTTATGTGTATGCATGTATTGCCTGCATGTAGGTAAATGTACCTGTGTCGTGCCATACCCGCAGATGTCAGAAGAGGCTGGCAGATTCCCCTGGGACTGGAGATACAGACAGTTGTTAGCTACCATGTGGGTTCTGAAAGAACAACCAGTGTTCTTGACCACTGAGCCATCTCTCCAGCAAGGACAGGGATGCTTTAGGAATTTAATTATTTCTTAGACTTGAAAACACTTTGAAAAGTATAGCAAGTTCTGGAAACATAAAAAGACAAACATTTGTCTATGAATGGAGGTGCAAAAGGGTGGCCCACCTGGCAGGATCAGCCGCAGGTACCCAATGTAGTAGGACCAGGCCAGCCCATGGGCAACATTGAAGTTCTTTTTTTCACAGACTGCAGAGATTTCCGCTGGGGCCAGGCACTGTGAAGAGCAGGATGGACCTGGGGGTACTTCTATGAAGGACATCTACAGCTCTCCTCCTCCAGGAAGCTTTCCCAACTTGCTGTCTACTTGTTCTTTCTGCTGCTGTAACCCCACCATCCCACTTTATAGCCCCACTTCCAGGACTCCAACCTTTAAACTAGTCCCAGTCCCAGTCTCAGTACTGAACTCAGGGAGGTGAACACTAGCCACAGTCCCACCTGACCACACCTTCCTCAGTGTCATACCTGGAGGCCCAGGAGGATGCTTAAGGCCTGTGAGAGGCCCAGAAGGGCAAGCATCCAACTGAGAGGCAGGCCATCAGTCTTTGGGAGGGAACAGTAGAAATAGACAGACAGTACCAACAGGGCCATGCGGCGGATGGGGCAGCCCAGGCAGGCGAGTGTAGCCTTCCAATAGCTGCCTTGGTACCTGCAGGGGGCAGCAAAGCCTTAGATCCTTGCTCAATTGAAGCTAGGCAGATTCAGGGAAGGCCAGGGTTAACAGTCAAGGGTGTGACACTTGAAGGTTACCCAATCTACATGGAGACTGCAGAGGGTTACCTGGATTGGACGTGGCATAGTTCTTCAACCAGACAGCAGACCTCTTTGAACAGCAGTCCCAGCTGCAGGGAGGCTAGGTGGAGCACCAGGTACTGGAGAGTGTGACTTGGTGGAATCCCAACCCCCGAAAGGATCACCAAGCTAGCCAGCAGCAGGACAAAAGCTGCCTGTTGGGTCCGGTGACCTCTGGGATATGGGATGGATGGATGTAGTCTGAAGTATGGCATCTGTGGTAAGAAAGCCACAACCTGGGACTGGAGAGATGGCTCAACAGTTAAGAGCACTAGCTGCTCTTACAGAGGACCCAGGTTTGATTTCTAGCACCCACATGGTGGCTAACAACTGTATGTAACTCCAGTTCCAGGGGAATTCAACACCCTCTTCAGGCATTGCACAACACCGGTACACTTACACACATGTAGGCAATACACTCATACACATAAAAAAATAAAATATAATAACAAAATATATGTATTTTTGGTCTTTTTGAGATAGGGTCTCCCTGTAGCCCCAGCTGACCTGGACTGGAACTCACTATGTAGACCAGGCTGGCCTTAGAAATCCACCTGCCTCTGCCTCCCAAGTGCTGGGATTAAAGGCAGTTGCCACCATAAAAGAAAAAAGAAAGTCATAACCATGCTCCTGGTATGCTCTTGCCCTTTAGGGATTGAGGTTCTGACTGATTTCCTCCCTGGGTCTCCCTTCCCTGATGCCCAGCCATTCCCATATAAGCAGCTCTCAGAGGTGCTTCTAGAGGATGTCCTGGGTATACACCATCCCACAGCACCTATCCATAAGAGATCTATTGTAAACATGTGCATGCCCACACATGCATGCCCCACTGAGCCCTACTCAAACCACTAGTGCGATAAAGAAAGATGTGACAAACCCAGACCCAGACCTTGAAGTGTCCTATGCCACCCAACCCACTCAGGGACCCTTGGGAGACCGAGGCCCTGGCCTCCAGAATAGTCTGGTCCTGGATTCCCAGGGCGTGGGCTGCTCCTGACCCTACCTTCTGCCTCCTGGACTCAGGTGTTCCTGGGAGACGATGGACAGTGAAGAGTGTACTGGCAAACCGCCTTTCAGGGTGCAGCCTAAAAATGAAACGTTAAAAACAACAGCAACTTCTTCAGCAAAACCCTGGCCCTGGCCCTTTGCCAGATCACAGCTTTGGGTATTCTGAGAAGTGTGTTTCCTGCCCTAAAGGGAAGGAAGAAGCTTCCCACCCGGGTGAAGCTTCAGTCACTCCCTTCCACTGCTCTTTGCTTCACCCAAAACTGAGGGTATTCAAAAAAATCACTCTCTTACCTGCAGCTACAATCCAGCCACAATCAAGCTACCAGTATGTAACTCATCTAGCAACATGTGGCAGAACTCCACACACAGACCAAAGGTGACACAGCTCCACAGGATTCCCAGATGCTCACAGATCCTCTTCTGCAGCCTGAGACCTCAGCAGGGGTGGTTTGCGGGCCTGTAAACAAGCATGCTACTTTCTGAAACCAGACTTTTAAGCAGAGTTTGGTGGGCGGAGGCTAGGAGAGGAGTGGTGCTGTGTTCTATGCACAGGAAGTGATGAGGTCTGCAACTTCAGTGGAGGCGATTAATGGCACTAACAAAAGTGTTGCCTTGGTACAGACTCTGCCAAGTGCTGCACATTCCACTTCACTCAGTCCTCCCAGTCACCCACTCTGGGAGCTCTCCATGTTTGTTTTTCTTTTTTTTTCTTTTATTACATTAACAATTTTTTTGTCAGTGAAGGGTACATACCACGGGTGGTGGCATGTGGAGGTCAGAGAACTTGCAGGAGTCATTTCTCTCCTTCTACCACATGGGTCCCAGGGATCCAACACAGATTGTTAGCTTTAGTGGCAAGCTCCTTTTTCTTCTGAACCATCTGGCAGGTCCTTTATCCTCATTTTACGGGGGTATGATTTGAAACCCAGAGAAGTAAAATAACTTTATCCAAACAAGTAAGGACTTAGCACCTGACAAGTCACTCTGAAATCAGATCTATGCCTTGATTTCATGAGCAGATGCAAGATGCCAGGACCATAGTTTATATACAGCTTCCCTGGTATAGGGAGTGCCTGGGGGCTGCTGTCCCTCCCAGGCCATAAAGCCCTCTCCCAGACCCCTCCCACATCTCAAGCAGACACAGAAAGACACACATTCAAAGATGCCTCCTGGCTCCCGGGAACAATTTATTTTCCTGGAAAGTCTCTGATTTCTGAAATCATTTCTTTATACTGTAGGGAATTCCCTACATTTTCCCTTCCTCATAATTGACTCAGATAAAGGGCTGAAAGGATAGATGACAGCATTTAAACAAGGATTACTCCATGCACTAGAAATCTGGATGATTTTTACATTCTGTTTCTCCCTTTTTTGCTTATTACATGAATCACAAATTATTTGTACAATGTTTAAAGCATGCAGTAGAAATCTGGGTGTGGTGGCGCATGCCTATAATCCCAGCACTGAGACAGGAGAATTGCTGCAAGTTTTAGGCCAATCTCATCTACATAATGAGCTATAATAGTATTCAGTAAGGAGAAAACCCCTTCCACGTTGCCTCCATCTTGGCGTTGCTTTCTCCTTGTTCTGTCCCCTCATACTCATTCACTGCTCTTGGCTCTCTTCCCTGAGTTTAAACTCACTCTGATGGAGTGTATGCTTTCCACTAACGGTCCTGGGACCTGGTCCCTTAAGCTGTGCCTGGTAGTCAAGAACTGCCAATGATGGAGGCCAGAGAGACAGGGAGGCCAGCAGAGCCTGATATATAGAATACAGTCCACGTGCTAGCCTGGACTAATTAGAACAAAAGCTCCTGTACAGTGGACAAGAGAAAGAAAGTTACTGAGGGGCAAGGTCCCACTACCTAGACCTTTAAATTCCCTAACATGAGTTCCTGTACACATTTTGTTTGCTTTGTTTTGAGACAGGGTCTCAAGTAGCCCACGCTGTCTTTAAACTCAGTATTTAGCTGAGGATGACCTTCAACTCCTGATCCTCCTGCCTCTACCTCCCTTGAGATTCCAGATATGCACTACCATGCCAGTGCTGCACATCTTTTGTCCATGCATCCCCTACAGTTTGTTCTGTTCTAGAGATTATTCTAGGCATGGCTAGGACTGCTGGTGAACCTCTTTTGCCTGGCCTTGAACTGGCACCTACAACTGACCAGAGTGGATGGGCATAACATAACTATCCAAGTTAGTTATTTACAGACATGATAAGGGCTATCAAAGATGCATTTGGCTTGCTACACTGGGGGTAGGAAGCGGAGGGGACTGGAATTCCCAAGTCCAGACCTCACTGAAAGTATGTCAATTAAGTTGGGTTTGGAAGAAGTAGGGGAGAGATGGGGAAGTGTATAAAAAACATTCCAAAAAGAGCAGCATACACCAAGGGGTCAGCTGGATCTTAGCCTGTGGAGGATAGAGAGTATCTGAAACATGTTGTGGGAGAGCTGTCTATATACTCTCTAGGGCTGCTATAACAAAATATCACAAATTACATGGCTTAATATAACATAAATTTATTCCTACCAGGTATAGTGACGCATACCTTTAACTCCAGCATTCAGGAGGCAGAGACAGGCAGATCTAGATGGAGGCCAGTCTGGTCTATATAGTGAGTTCTAGGTCAGCTATGGCTACAGGGAGACCTTGTTTCAAAAACAAAAACATCCCCACAAATTTATTCCCTTAATTTCCTCACAGTTCAGGTGGTCAGACACCAGGAATGAAGACATTGGAGCCTTGCTTCCTCTGAAGGAAGCACTCAGTTTGAAGTTTCATTCCCATTTTGAGATACTAAGAGCTTGGGAACTTAGTCCAACCACAGTGTATAGAAATGGGGCCTTTCAGAAGTGATTGTTGTTAGATAAAGTCATCAGGGTGGAGCCCCATGATTGATGGAGAATCCAGTGGAGACTCATATTCGTGTTGCTTGTCTTGGCCAGGCATGGTGGCACAGTCCTGTAATCCCCGCATATAGAACATGGAGGCAGGAAGATAAGAAGTTCAAGGTCATCTGTGGCTATACAGTGACTTTCAGAACAATCTGGGCTATGTGAGAACCTGTTTGGAAATCCAAAATAAGCAAATAAATAACAAATACATATCCCCTGTCTTGTGCCCCATGATGCCCTGCCTAGATATTCTGCTGGCAAGAAAGTCAACACTATATGAGGACCTTGGACTTGAAACTTGAGTTGAAATAAACTTCCTTTTTTTGTAACTTAGCCAGTTTGTATTATTAGCAACAGAAAACAGACTAAGACATACATGCATGCTGGAGGAGAGGACTTCAGCACATCTCCTTGGGGATGTAATTGAATCCTTCACCTGGTCAGAGATGTAAGAAGCCTGAAAATTGACTGGGACCCTGTGGCCAAGGCCTGGGAAGCATTGTGCTGGGGTCCACATGGGACTGTCCTCAACACTTACACAGACCAGCTGTACAGGCAGTCAGGGAGCTCAAAGATCTTCCAGACTGACCATCTCATCAGCCAACAAGGAGGCCAAAGGCAATGGAAGGAAATTAGGTACAAGTTGCTGTCTGGCTAATAGGATGTGACTCTTAAGGTCTTTGTGATTGCTTCTTCTTTCCAGACACCCAGAAATACTAGTCTGAGCAGGCTCTAGTTTCTATTTCCAACCCAGTTCTACTTCCCACAAGTGTTCTTTGAAACTCGCTGTCAGTGTTCCTGGAAGAGAAACAAGCCCATGCATACACTCGGTCCTGACAAAGTATGAATGGGTAGGGAAGCCTCTGGCCTCTCAGAGGCACTATATCTCACACAATCTCAGTATCCCTTAATCTTACAAGGATGGAGACATTGGGGAGGTTTTAAATAACAGTGACCCCAGTGGACTTGGGATCCAGTCTGGGCTCTGCCTCTCCTAGCTGTGTGACATTGGCCTGTTAATTCAATCTCTCTTATTTATTTATTTATTTATTTATTTATTTATTTATTTATTTATTTATTTTATGAGTGTATTGCCTGCATGTATGTATGTACACCCATGTCGTGCAAAGCCCATAGAGGCCAGAAGAGGGTGTTGGATCCCCTGGAAGTGTAATTAAGGATAGTTGTTAGCTGCCATATGGGTGCTGAGAATTGAACCCGAGTCCTCTGGAAGAGCAGACGATGGTCTTAACAACTGAGCCATCTCTCCAGCTCTCATTGATCCATTTGACCTTCAGTTTTCACATACCAAAAATGGAAATAGCAACACCTCCTAGATCATAGGACTGGGAAAGAAGTAGAAAGAAGTAATGTGTTGTTGACTTACTTGTAAATGTTTAGGACTGGTAACTCTAATTCTACCATCATCACTGACAGCCATACCATGGAGTTGTCTGCCCATCATCTGGCTCTATTGTGGGTTTAAGTCATTTCTGCATACAGAGAGATTTGATGTCTCATCCAACAAGCTTCTAGTTTGTTGCCCTTCATCATGATTTCATTGGCTTATCATATAGCTGTCCAGGTATAATGTCCTCCCTGGGCAGGATGACACAAGATTAAGAAAAAAGATGCTTGATGATGGCAGGATTACGGGTGGGGAAGCATAGCTGGCTGAGCTGCAGCTTCTTCAGGGAAGGAACAACTGACTCATGTTCTCTGTAGGAAGGGAGTATATATGCATGATGTGTGTGAGAGAGAGAAAAAGAGAGACAGAGTCAGAGAAAGATGGAGAGAGAGAGTACATGTGCCAAGGCATGTGTGTAGAGGCTAGAGGACAACTTTATATAATCAGTTCTCTCCTTTCACTTTTTCCTTTTTTTGGTGTTTTCGAGACAGGGTCTCCCTGTAGCCCCAGCTGTCCTGGAACTCACTATGAAGACCAGGCTGGCCTTGAACTCACAGAGATCCGCCTGCCTCTGCCTCCGAGTGCTGGGATTAAAGGCATGCGCCACCACACCCAGCTATTCTCCTTTCACTTTTTATGAGGGTTCCAGAGATCAAGCTTAGGCACCAGGTTTATGCAGCAAACACCTCTACCTGCTGAGCCATCTCACCAACCCTTTTTTTAATTAATTTTTTTGAAGGAGAATCTCATGTAACTTAGTTCAAACTGACCTTGAACTTACTATGTGGCCAAGGATGTCCTTGAAATTATGATCCTCCCACTCTGCTTCCTGTGCCTGTGTGAAGATATGAACCCTTAGCTTCTGCTCCTACTCCAGCCACCTGTGCTGCCATGCCTGCCATGATGGACTCTTGTCCCTTTGCAACCATAAACTAAATAAACTCTTCCTTTTGTAAGTTCCCTTGGTCATGATGTTTCTATCACAGCAACAGAAAAATCACTAATACAGTAACTGGTACCAGAAAGTGGGCTGTTAGCTGTGAAGAACCCAACCATGTGAGTTTTTGGAGGACTGTGGAAGACTTTGAAAGTTTGGGCTAGAAAAGCAGTTGATTGCTGTAAGTAGAGTTTAACAGGCCATTCTAGTAGGAGCCTGGAAGAAAGTAGTGCTGAGAA